CAACTAGTCGGACAGAAAAGGTAATAATAAAGTTAGCAAATGCAAGTTGAAGAAATATTTATTTGGGATTAAAACGAAAGAAAGTGTCACATTCGATGGCGCCAATTTTGCTACTCAATGACTATTACTAATAGTCCCCTAGTAGCGTAGCCAATCAAAATGCAGGATTTGCATTAGTCCACTAGTTGGGTGATACTAATTTATTATAACCAACCTGTAACCGAGTTAAGTTGTTTAGAATTTTTAACCAGGTTTCTAAAAAATAAACCCAGTTAACTCTCTTAGTGTGGCTGCAGCCAATAAGAGATTTATTATCCAACTGCTGTAGTAAATAAATTTATCAATGAAAGAGGGAGAGTGTGACAGTTTTGCGTGTGTGCGCCAACCTGTACGGCAAACAGGTTTTCTACTGTACAAATATGGCAAACAGGTTTTCTACTGTACAATATTGCTGTATATTTGTACTGTTATTTGGACTGTATTCGCTGCAGTTGGATAACAACAGCCATTAACGATGTGTGATCCACGGTATTTTACAAATCTACCAATCAGCCCAAATCTTTGCCAAAGTTCCCAAACCAAGAGATTTTAAGGCCAAATCCACCAATTCACATACCTACTTTCATGCCTCCCCTTCCTTCTTTATTGAAATGATCTCTTCCAACTTGAACACGTTGAATCCTTGAGCTCTTGTTAGCAGTGCCGTATGTGTACTAATAACATTAATTTGTGTATTCAGGTGAAACAAGAGAACTCGACAAAGTTGATTCTCCAGTTCGTAGCCAACGAGGTAATGAGTCCAAGGTTTTATTTACAAGTTACTTAAAAAGTAAAGTCACTTTTAAATCAGAGAACATTTATTGGAATAACCTGGTGTCCTGGTTAAGGGGGTATGGTACCCTAAAATATGGCGATGCTGAAGAAAAATTCAATTTCTTGGAAATACAAGAATTAAGACCCTAGAGGACTTGTCAAAAACATTTTGAAATGATCTTGTTGAATTTTCCTCTAGATGAGTGTGAAATTTAAGGAAAGTACACAGTGGTATAAGTTTTTTCACGTAGCAACGGCCATAGCAACGACTGTTTACTATAAGAACGTGACCAAAAATATACATTAGTTTTAACATATATGAACGAAACTATTCAGAAAAAAACTTTAAATACATGCACAACTCGATTGGTATAATTAGTTGCGAAAAGCTTTGCCTCAAATTGCCATTGTAGGCTCATTCATTTCCCTTACGAAAAGGAATATTTCCCACAACCGCAGTAACTTTTTACAAAATAATACCCATTGCACCCCCACCCCAGAGATCCAATCTGCACCCCGCCTCACTATTTGTGGCTTGTTAAATGCTTAATACTTCGTGTAAGAAACTTAAAGTGCATTTTTCTCAAATGTTTACTTTTGTACCGACTGACTTCGTGCCAACATTTCTACTTTGCAAGGTTTATAAGTAGAATTCCTGAAACTTGGGCTTAAATCAAAGACCAATAGTGTCATGATGTAATGAACCCAAAGAATCGAAACATTTTAACGTCTGTCACATGACATGAGATGATTTGTACACTGGGTGTGGTATAAAATAAGTTATTTCCAAATAAAGCCTGTAAAAAGCACTGAAAATAAGAATTAACTGTCAAAACTTAGGTTCATTGCACAGAACAAAACAGAAACTTACACAATATGCTTATTTGACAGTCAAATCTTGTTTTGTAAAAGAGCAGGAAGTGTTGGCGTCAATACTGTAAAACACTACCTCAAAAGGCTGTGGCTGGTTTCCATAGCAACCATTTTGAGTAACACTTTCAAAATTTCATTTCTCTTCTTGAGGGCAATAGCACACAATTGATGTTCTTCACCATATTAATTTAAACAAACTTTTTGGTCCATTTTAGGGTACCATACCACCTTAAATTAACTGCATTATGTCAATGTAGAAAATGGCACAATTATCTTGGATAACCAAAAATTCCTTGAAGTTGATATGGAAAAACATTCTTTCAAAAAACAGATTTTCTTAAGCAACAGTTTTATCTGTAAATTTCTAGTTTATAATGAATTAAAGGACCTGTTGCAGCAGCTTAATGAGGAATGATAAATTATCCACACTAACACAAAATAAATGATCAAGGAGTATTAGCTTCCTGTACTCCTGTGCTATTGACAATACCCCCTCCATACAGCTGGGATAGCAGACAATGACTTGTTAATCATTCAATCGAATATAGGTAATTGGCTTCCCAAGTCTTTTTATAGAAAATCCCTTAAATTGCCATCAATCTAAAATTTTTGGCTCAGCATATATCAGGCCAGGACAAACATGAACATAAACTTTTTAGAAGTACTCCTTGATGAAAATGTTTTATGGAAATATCAAGTAAATCACATTTGTAGAAAAGACCCTGGGTATGATTTCAAGGGCATCTTATTACTTATCTACGAAAACTAAATTATCTTTTCGTTATACCTTAGTCTACCCCTATTTAAAGTGCCCATGAAGTAAAAAATAATAGCTGCTTATTTGAGAGGCTTTTCAAAGTAAAGAAGAATGGCGTTTTCCTTTCTGGAATATCTTTTTTCATTTTAGAGATACTTATGTTTTTGTAAGAAAAGTGATGACATCATAGGTGTTTCCACTAAAACAGCACAGCACTCGAGAATAACTCTAGAAATATTAAAGCAGTGTTCGTTAAACTTGGCACCAGAAATATAATGTGCATCACAAAAGAAAAATAATGACACCCGTCATGCCACTGCCATGACAACAGTTATGCTGCTGGTTCTGTTGTTGTGTTCGACGAAGTGGAACGTAAACCTAATTTTGACCTGTGGCGTTTCAGAGTTGGTTTCCCTGTGCACGGTTCTAGGCCAAAAAATACCACATTCCTGTAAGGACA